GCTCTGTGGCTGGGCTCTGTGTCCAGGCCTTGTCCTCCTCTTGTCCTTTGTGGCTGGGTCTTGTCCTCCTCTTGTCCTCTTCTTCTCCTCCTCTTGTCCTTGTTTTGGCCGCGCCCCTGAACTCTGTGGCTGGGCTCTGTGGCCCGGCTCTGTGTCCAGGTCTTGTCCTCCTCTTGTCCTTGCCTTGGCCGCGCCCCTGAACTCTGTGGCTGGTCTCTGTGGCCCGGCTTACTGGAGAGGAGTGTGGCCGAACAGATAGCGATGTCAATGCCGACAAAAATTCATTGATGAAGCAGTTTGCTCTTGGGGTGAAGGTAGGGCGTGCCAAGAAATCGTTTTTTGACTAATAGTGGTCTGCACGAATCGTTTTGAAGCTGTTTGGGGTCTATGCTGGTATAACTTTAGACTAAGCAAATCTAACCTACTGTAAAGTGACTAGCTTTGCGCACCTATTTTTGAAGAGAGGGTGTGAAGACACAAGAACATGTTGAGAAGGTTGGTGCTGCTGATTTTTTGAGAAGCACACATTCTTGATTTTGTCAACAAAATTCAGGTTGTTTGATTCTATAGAGGTTTTAGGCTTGAAGAGGTTGTGCAGTTGATTCTAGAACATATTTTTTGTTTTTGTTTTGCAGTCCTTCACTCCAAGTCCCAGAAGACGACCAATTTAGATCAATTTAAAAAGAATACCAAAGTTCAACCACCATCATGCCAGTCTCAATACAAAGCAACGCATTCTTGTACATAACTAGCCACCCCATGGGGCCTACCAGTGGCCCAACCCTTCCCAAGACCTTGTGTCCCCAACTTTAGAGATGTATTTTTGGACAGGTCCCTCAAAGAATTGGAGGATTGGGGTACACAAGTAGTGTCTCGGAAAAGACCCAGCCTCAGCTACCAATGCCACCACCCCTTTCCCTGTGTACCACCCAGCCACCCTTTTCACCCCCCCAATGAATTGGAATGAATAGCATCACCAAGGTGTGCTCCTATCTGGAGCAACCCAGCCCCAAACCTGGCCACCTACAACCCAACCACTCCACCAGTGACTCCACCAGAGGCCCAACCCTTCTCAAGACCTTGTGTCCCCAATTTTAGAGAGGTATTTTTGGACAGGTCCACCAATCAAACCTCGCCTCTTTCAGGCGGAGACATAAACAATGTAGCCCTCAAAGAATTGGACGCTTGGGGTGCACACTGAATTGATTGCAAAACAAAAACAACCAGCCCAGCCCCAGCAGCAGATGCCAGCACCTTTCCCTGTGTACACCCAGCACCCCTTCCAGCCCACCATTGGCTGCCCAAGATTTGAGCACCCCCCCCTGTCTAGAATTGGAATGCGTAGCCTCACCAAAGTCGTCCTCCTATCTGAAGCCCCTTTGGGATCAGCCACCCTTCGAGGGCCTGAGGAATGACAAGACCCCTGTAGCTACTGTAGAATCAGGGGGTCTCTCATCCCATAGTTGTCAATATTTTGTTGTGGCTAGCATCCTCAGGCCACTTGATTTTATAGAAATCACATATATATATATATATTGACTATTTTTTTTTGGACATGTTTGTTTGATCTTGTGAGCTCGATTCTACACTACGCTCATTTTCCATGTGCTCTTGATTCTTTACCACATGTTCTTTCCTGGTGTGAGCGACATGCGGGTTATGGTGAGCTACCGTTCCTTTGAATCGTTTGCCGTTCTTTAGCTGTCGAGAATTTGGATTCAAGCCAGGCCCCGCCAACGGTGAAGCAGCGGCTCCAAGAGATTCCACAGGATCTTGGCCTGCAGAATCTTCAACTTCTTTTCAAGAAGGACTGGCAAACCAGGGATCATCACACATTATCGTTCCCTCAAGAACGAACAACGTATATACAGCAGGTTTGCTCTTCAAGTTCCCGTTCAAGATCTCAAATAATTGGAGTGAAATGGCTAGGCTAGGCTTGTGAAACAAGTTGCAACATCTCCGGCTTCCAGGACATGTTGAACCGATATCAAGCGAAAGAGGAGGCCTGCAACTTCTTGCTGAAGTGCGAGAAGTTCTTTGCCGACTACGTCGGTATGAAGTATGCACTGGCTTTGAACAGCGGTGGGATTGCCATCAGCCTTGGCCTAGAAGGTATCAAGCGGGTGATCTTTCCGGAGGATGACGTGGATCAGATCCGTGTTTACTCGAACGCCTTTACGTTCAATGCAGTACCTGCAGCTTGTGTGGTCGCTGGCTTTCGCAACACTCTGAAGCTCATTGAGGCGACACCCGAGCTGACCATTGATCTAGATCACTGGGAGGCGTGCATCAAGGAGGACTTCATGCATTTCACTGCTCTTGAGCCTTTCAACCAATTGCGAGAGATATGACCCCCACTTGGAACTTGTTCATAGTGATTTGCAGGACTTGGAGTCCAAGAGATTTGCACCAGGGAAGATGATCCTCGTGCTCTCCTATATGCGCGGACGCGTGCCAGACATGCACAAGGTGATGGACATCTGCAAGAAGTACGAGGTCAGAACCCTGTCAGTAGTCCACGATGGTCCCGAGCCTCTTATGGGGTTCGGCTCTGAAAGAAATGCAACGATTTTCTCTAGGGCTGCACACAGTGGCAAGTTAGGACTGGGATGTGGAGTGTGGATACCACACTGGGTAGGTGCAGGTTTCCTCTTGTGAGTCCACGCCCAGAGAGTTGAGGTGCAACTCTTGGAAGACTCCGCACACGGCTATGGCTGCTCCTTCGATGGCCAGAAGTGTGGCTCGTTTGGTGTGGTTTCAACAATCTCTACGCAGGCGAACAAGCTGGTGAACACCGGTGAGGGTGGTATGATTCTTACCAGCAACTTGGATGGCGAACCAGCAACTTGAGGTTCTTGGGTGACTCAGATAGGGCTTAATCGACCTGCAGATCTCAGAAAGGTTGGCAAAGATTCTTATGGCTCATCGAGTCCAGCTCAGTCTCTCGCGTTTTCCGGAATACGCTCAGGCAACGATGCCATGCAAGCCTTCTTCATTTTCTCCGCAGGCAGCTATGAAGAGCTGTGGAAGAAGCACGAATCTATGACGCCACCTGAAGAGGTAGCCCTGAAGTTCAAGTACACGACCGTGAACAAATCGGTGCGGATGACCAATATCCAAGGCTGAGAGTCGAGAGTTGCCAAAATGGTTGTACTTTTGACGGCCTCATGTGCATTATGAATAGGGAACCCACCGAACCTAGAATGACATGGTCTAAGCGGGACCAGATACTTGGTGTGTTCCGGTGTGTTCGACTGGCTTCAGGTGCTATCATGTTTCCGCAGCTGAGCGTCATGGATGAGCGCATCGATCAGCACAACGCGATGTATAGTGTTTTGATGTCAACAACAATTGAGAAGCTTGAGGCCCTGAAACCTGGAAGCAGCAGACGGGTTTACTTCATCCCGCAGGCCCCGCCGAGGGTATTCTTTCGTAAGCAGCGTGGGGACTCCTGTGCAGGACTGCAAAAGGACTCGACTCCGGTGGCCTTTCCAGCTGAGTCGAACGACTCGTTGGATTCATTGAATGATCCTTTCATGTGATTCATAGTAGCGAACATTGTTCCTAGTAGTAAGGCCAGGAGCCCCTAGTAGCGTCCTTGCTCCTAGTAGCGATGCCAGGAGCCCCTAGTAGCTTCTTGTTCCTAAGAATCATGAGTTGTCCTTTTTGCCAGGTACACGAGCTCGTTGGTCCGGTCTTCGACTCCATGCAGATGCAAATTCGCGACAGCAATGGGGAAGTAGCTGCAGAGGAGCATCCGGGCCTGAACGGCTTTTTAAAAGAGATGCAAGGTGGGGGTACTTGGACCACTGGCATATTTTTCGTTTGATTTTTAACCTGTCATTGTTCCTACGACTTTTCCACAAGTTGGCCAGGTCGCAAGCATGGCATCGCGAAATTCTCCGACCCAGCAAATGCTCGGAATTTCTTGTCCTGGCAATATTTGAAGCCAGAAGATGTGTTAGCTGACGCGCTCCCCAAAACCACCAAGAACCTCCTGAACGTTTGTGATCTTCGACTACTTTGTCATGACACGGAGGCGCACGGAGAGGATTTCAGATCACTTCCTCTTGCGCACGTGAGGATATGAAAGGATTCCTTTCAGTACTAGTCACTAGTCGTAGTACCACAGGTTCTGAAAACACTTTTACATGCACAAAGAGTATTTGTTGATTCAACAATTGAGCAAGCTATATACTGTAATTACGATTCTCTAAATTGTAAATGTGTCCTGCATGACAATGACTATACTGATAGGTACGGCAAAGCTTCGCAGATCAGATGTCTTCTAGACTCGGTGTTCTAACCTGTGTCTCCCGTTTCACAGGGGTCAGCAGATATCTACTTCTACTGACAGATCCCAGGCCACGCTTGACAGCCTCATTTGAATGTATGTGTCTTGACGATCTTGACGTAGCTTTCGAAGCCATTTTGCCGCAGAAAGTCTGGCTTAGAAGAAATGCCTCCTCGTGGCGTCATCCTACCGAAGTGGGTGGCAACTGAATTTGCGCATTTTTGTTGCAGATATTTGATATCTGGCTATCATGACACACTCATCCTGACAAACCTGGGTGCTTTGACCTGGGAAGCTTGCCTGCCCTTGGCCTTCCTGTACTCAGACCAAGACACTAGCAAGAGGGCAGGGCTTGTGTTTCTGTCCGCAGTGGGAAACTTCTATGCAGCCGCCACGACACGCTTCAACGACTCTGGCTTTACAAGCGGGCTCAGCTTCCTACTGCCACCCTTTTTTTGCTATAACTTCCTCTTAATCTATGTGCTGGGCCCTCCGACCATGATTCTTGGAGGCGTCATCTGTGGCCGAGCCATTGTTCTCACACAAGGTCTTGGACCGGCGGTCATTGGGGGGACAGGATTGGTGGTGGTTGGATGGTTCTTCCGTGATGTCCACGAGTGGATGCCCTTCCTTGGATGGATGGGAGGAGCTGGCAGTTCTGAGGGCTTTGACTCCTCCTTCTTGCGGGCAGGACTCTATCCTGCTACCTTCGCCGCATCTCAGATGATATTGGAACACATGAACACATTCACTGAAGTGGGCTTGAAACAACGAGCTGTCCATGTTCTGTCATTCTTGGTGAAAAAATGGTCACTGTCCAAAGCCAACCTGGCGTTTATATCTTGATTATCAAACGAGTGAAACAATTGATATGTCAACCTTTGCACTTCGGGCATTCGCAGCATTGGTCCGGCAGACTGTGACTCCGCACCCGGTGAGGTGGCCTTTGTTTTGGCTGAGTTGACTGCGAGCCTTTTCAGTCATTGGCTCCTTCAGAGCTGTGGCATTGCTTGCGTCATCATGGTGTTCGCTTACCAGGCGAAGGTCCGCTTGGTTTGCTTCCCCTAGCTGACTGGCAGTTTGCGGATGGAATCGGTACAGTGCGATTCCGCCAGAGTGAGAGCATGTCACTACTTAGACTTAGAGTCTGATGTACAGCAGGATCTCTGTCTCTGTGGAGAAAATATGATGGCACGGGAGGCAGCCTAAGCTTCGCACCAGGTGCACAGGGTATCGTCAAACAAACATCCAAAATTTCCAGCCCTAAACCCTAACCTCCTTGAAAGTGGGAAGTGACGAGTGGTGTGGCTCACCTGGCTTGAAAGGTTGAGATCTCGAAGCTGGCCAATGACCTGGCCGAGTGCATTGTCACACACTTCTGAGGCAAAACGTAGAGCGAACGTCGGCTTTGTGAGCGCTGGATCACCGCTTGACTCATGTGCGCACACAGCATAGAGGAATTAACCTAGAACGTATTTCCGAACGTTCTTTTTTTTTACATGTACAAATTATATTGTCAGTTTCTCTTAATAATAGAGAGGATATGGACGGGAATATTCACAGTACCCTTTGACTATCCTGGAAAGCAGGTGCCAACAACTGTCGTGCCAACCACTGCCCACGTTAAGTTCCCTCACAAGTCTCCCACAAGAACCAAGCCATCACCACCGTTGTGCTCGCTGAGAAACAATAGAATCCTAAAAAGTGCGTCAACAAACTTGGTGAGTTTCTATATAGACTTCATGCGACTCTCTTCTTTGTTTGCAGCCTGGTCCAGTGATTTTGGCTTGCAATTTGAATGGTGAATGGGATGCCAGCAGTGATCCACAGCGTCCACACAATACCATTTACCCGGCAGTGTTCTCAATTTCATTAGCATAGCAGAAAGCACTGGCACGACTGTGAGACATTGGCTGATGGGCGCAGGGACTGGAAAGTTTATTGCCAGCAATCTGAGCCCCCGATGAGGGCCGGCTTAGCCATGTTCTGTACCAAGATGTGAATGTGGATCAAGACGGTCAAGAGGAATTCCTGCGTTGGGTCGTTTGGCATCGAAAGCTATTCTCAACTCCAAACGTCCAAGATTGCTGGCGCCCTCGCGCCGAGGCCAAGCAATACAACATCCTGTAACACCTGTGCTTCATGGGACTGCGCTTGGCAAACTGTCAGGCATATGATTTTGGACATTCTCGTCTCACTCTCTTGACGTCTTGAGGTTCCGCGAGCAAGGCGATTTCTTGTGTGGGTGAAAAAGCTGACCGAAGGGCGTCCTTCGGCAGATGGACGCTAATGGAATAGAGTGCCCGTCACAGAGGATGAACTATGAACTAATTGTTCTTTGCATTTGCTTGTCATGTATGTGCCTCTCAAGTTTGGTTTACTCGTAGACGACCTACTTGGTAGGGTAGAAGTGCATAGGACAGGTCGAGTCTGATTAGCGGCATTTGTGCCGTGTCTCTATGGCCATGCCGCATCCAGATGCCAACACCAAAGATGACGCTGCGAAACGAACAGCGTCTGGGCGTGAGAAAGCGAGGTTTGCGAGCTGCCAGATAGAGGTAGCAGCTGCCTCCGTGTGGGACCGTCGTGTGTTCCCTGGGACCGTCTTTTTTTTGAGTCCCTGGGAGCGTTGAAATAGGAGGGTCGTTTCTTCAGCGCCTGACTGTCAGAGTTCAGTTCCGGTCTTCAGTCATCTTCAGTCAATACTTTGGATCGATACCAACATGGACTTCCAAGACGAACCAAGAACAACAGAACCTAGCAGTTTCTGTTCCCCTGCTGCACTTAGGAAAGTGGAATCACCGTCACCGTGCACGGTGAAGATACCAAGAACCTGGAAAGGAGCTTGGACCAACTGTCTCATCATCCCAACGCACCGGGTCTTATGCGTCTGGTTTCGTCGCTTGGCGGTTTCGTGGCCTCGGTTGCCTCACCGTTTTTTTGCCGTTTCTGTAGACCATGTTAGCATTCTTGCCGTTTTTCTGTAGACCTTCGATCAACCGAGCAGCTCAGGCCATTGTCTTTGATGGAGCCGGTAGGTGCCAACATCCAAAATGACCATGATCATGGTCCGGAGAAGAGAAGCTTTCCCGCTGCCGTGGCTTCTGCGGTGATCAACCACATGCTGATGCAACACAGATGCACAGAAGATTTCTCGCACTCAACAGCATTTCCAAGCCTCCGGCAAGCCGGTTCATCACCCTACCAACTAGAGACGTACCGACTAGGGGTATTGTTGGATGGCTTTTGACTTTCATTCAGCGATAGTGCGACCAACAAAGCCAGACAGGGGATGACCAATTGAATCATGCATGCTTGTGAATCAGACTAGGAATATGTGCAACGAGACTTTGCACTCTGTGTGGTGCACCCCTTTCTCGGTTTTTCGCTGAATCACAAAGTACCCACCAGGGACTCGAAACCAAAACGAGAGAAACGACGTCTCGATGAGGTTTGGTATGTGTTGCGCCTATGGGATGATCATCTTCAGTGAAGAAAAGCATTCCGACCACCGTGCGCTTGGAGTGAAGACACTTGGTGAGACAAGTTGTTTTGCGCTCAGATTTGCTTTCTTGAGGGTCTAGGTAAGCTGTAGTCTGTCAAGGCTTTTTGTGGCTCAAGGCTCAAGGATGCTTTTTCATGCTATCGCATTTTGGTAAAAAAAACGGTGAAGTCCAAATGTTTGAGAGGTCCTTTGGAAGCATTCACGCTTGCATCTTCAGCCGAGGATGTGTTTGGTGTCCCTTCCTCAGCGAGGGGGCAGTCATTGTTTTTTTTCGCAAGTGATGGAGCATTGCAATGCTTGTTCTTCGGGTCTTGGAAGCTGCGCATTTCCCTTCTGTTTGCAGTTGCGGGAGCGTTTTGGATTTCGTCAGTTCGGCCTATTTCCTGGTTGTCAGAGTCATCATGAGTGGTCCATTCTCGTTAACTTGTGCCCTCCACAGCCAGGCTTACTCATGTCTAAGTGTTCCACAAATTTCTCTTTCTGGTCATGAAGAAGTCATGAGAATCCAAGAAAAGGCTTCTTACAAGACTTCCTCATTTCCCATGTAAGTTCACATGTGTCTTAGCAAACCACACCTCACGTGAATTCACCTACTAGCACACTCTCCTGGCCGTGTCTTGCGAGGGCGGCCTTCGTGGCCGGCGGCTTGATGTCGATTTGCTCGGGGATCCCGGTGGCCATCGGCGGCACCGACCTGAACCCGGCGGTCTTCTACGGAGACTTCGTGATTGCCATCGCTACGGTGCGATGAGAGTGGAGAGAGAACGACAATTGGAGAAGAAGAGAGGAAAAGAATGGAAAAGAGGAACAGGGAGAGGCATTATATAGCTACTAGTAGCTTCTTGTTACTAGCAGTAATGCCCTTATTACTAGTAGCGATGCACTTGTTACGTTCGTAGCTTCTTGTTAAAGTTCTCAGCAAAATCAACCATTGGGCCTTGGGCCAAATAGAAAGTCAAACCACCACACCAACTACTTCCCGCAGAAAGGGTACGAAAACTTCTTGCAAGATCTCGAATGCACATTTCTTGTGATCCTTTGAATCCGAACAGGAACTCTCTAAGCAGCTTCAACTGGATGAAGCTTGGCTGCACACGCCAGCCAGCATGAGCTCACTGCTTGTCGACGTCCGATTATATGCAACTCCCAAGTGGCTCAAGTGCCAGTATGTGCGAGTATGTTTTCTGTCCACTTTGACTTTTGCCATGCGTCGCTGTGTAGTTTCATTCTTCCACAAGGTCTTACTGGAAGTAGACTTCCAATTCTTAGTACAGTAACAGCGATATCATACAAATTTGCATACATGTTTCAAATAGGCATTCCACGCAAAAGGTTCTAGTGATTCTAGTGATCAAAAGTCGGAAGATGTGTAGCGCTGCCAAGGGCTATGATTACGCAGACTGGGAAGGATCGTCTGGCAGAAGGTTGGCCAAGGTGGACAAGACCAAGTATTTCTGCAAAGGCGAGTAGAGAATACTGATGTTCTTCAAGTTAGGGGTGAAAGTTTGACCAAACAACCATAGGGGATTTCCTGTCTATACACAGGATCGGCGCAACGCTTCAAGCATGGAACATGTTCTTATTGATGTGTATGCTTGAAAATTAGAGTGTCCAACAACTTGCAACCTTTGTTTGCAATTATATCATGGCAAAGAAGGATCTGGGCGACCCAAGTATTTCTTTTTAATCGGTAGGTTGGAGGCCATCGCTATTAGGCTGGAGGCCATGGCTAGTAGGTTGGAGGCCATCGCTGTTAGAGTGGAGGCCATCGCTATTAGGTCGACCCAAGTCTTTTTATTCAATCTTTTGGCCAAACATGGCAGTTGCTTCACACATCTGAACCGTCACACCTGAACAGACGCCAAAGCACCAGACCACGTCGTGCTGCGAGAAGTTCTACATTGCTACACACAAAGGCAACCAAATAAAGGTGCAGGCTTTGCAGGCTCTGCATGGCTCTGCAGGCTGCAGCACGTAGCTTTACAAAAGTAAGGACCGTGCCTTGCCCTTGCAACTTTCACGGCACGGTAACTGAGTTATACATAGTTATACTGAGTTTCTGTGGGTTTTTGATTCCGAACACCACAAAAGTAAGACACACATAGAAAAAGACATGCCAAGAAATCTTTTTTGCGCCATCCAAAAGGACCGCTGAAAACGACCGGTCGAACCACCCGACCCACCGGACGACTCGCGGGACGACTCGCGGGACGAGGCGGCCACTTGGCCCAGTTTGCCAATGAGTGCAACTCAGCGAAGATCAGCTTCTCTAGTCAGCGAGACTGAGAATGACTATAGATACAATAGAATGACTATAGACTTGTAGTACTTTTGTCCTTCTCTTCTCTTGATAAAGAACAACACCTTCTCTTGATAAACAACCACCTTCTCTGATTTGGATTGAACATCATTGAAGCACCTTTCCATATGTTCTTTTTTGTTCATCAAGAGTTGACATTATAGATGGACAGCTGGAGACTTTGGTTTTTGGGCCAAGAAGAGCACTTACTTCGAGAAAGGGTGTTTCCCCCGGTGTCCACGCTCTCAGTTGTCGCGCGACTTTGGGCTTCCCTCTCGCATGAACTTTTTATGCAAATCCAGTTCTTGCCGTGGATCATGCAGTCAGTATAAATAAAAGTAACACTTTTCGACTGGCTAAAGCTTCGACCAAGTGACCAAGGTGCGACTTACCATGAGGAGCTGCGTGCCACAACCATTTTCGCCGTTGCATTTTCGACGTTGCTTCTGGGCACCATGGCTGAAAGAGACCAGAAACTGTCGGAGACCTTGTTTTCGCTTCTAGATTCTTCTAGTGTATGCCATTTTGAGTAGCACCTGACAAGGGCCCATGAGTAAAAACTGGGAGGTTTGAGTCACCAGTGTTTGATCACCTTGAGCAGTTCGCTGCGCTTGTGTTCGTGCTGTTCATGCGAACTGCCAGCCATCCTTTGGACGGTGTTGGGGAAGCTCAAGCTCACCCGCTACGTGAGTTATATGCCCTACAGCATCTCCGAGGCGGGCCGTTTGATGACTGTGCTCATCCATGATTAGCATGAAGATTGGCTCAGATCGAGGGAAAGAAGAGGTGGCCCCTTTCCCTACACAGCACCCTAGCTTTCCAGACCCTACTAGTAGCAATCGGAGGGAGACCCAAGAAATATGTGGCAGAAGTTTATCGTTTGCGGTTCTCCTTTTGCTCTCGATTGGCTGCAAGTGGCCTCCTTTTCGTTGACAATCAACTGGAATACACGAATCATGAATCCCTTGTCGAGGCGTTCCTGGCTTGCGTTGGCTACAAGGCATCTGAGTTGCGCTTAAACTGGTTGAATGCACGCCACTGTCTGATGAAGGTCATGAATCCAGTGTTAGATACCTTTGAAATCCTTTGAACAGGGACAATTGAGGACACCTGATTGAACATTATGACATAATGACATTGTTGGGAATTTCAGCGTAACCACGTTCACCTCAAGCCCTCTAGTCAATCAGCACAAGCCTCATGGCAAGAGTTGTGCCTGAAGACATTCCAATTGATATGAGCTACCCTCTCACCATCATTGTTTGGCAGTCGATGCTTGGCAAAGATTCAGGTCTTTTACTATGCCCTGAAGTTTTGTGACATGCAACCTCAGCAGTTCATGCCAGCTGCTTTGATTGGCATCGCCCTATACTTTGTCAAGGCGTGCTTGAGATAGGGTGTTGGCACTCTGGGATCGTGTTGGGCGAGTTTGCTTCCACCTGCAAAGTCCGAGTAGGTAAAAATCAAGAGGTCCAGATTTAGGTGTTTTCTGCTCCTTATTCCCATCCGTGAAGATGGACCTGCAGGCGTTGCATCTCGGCAATCCCACCATCATGATGCCTTTGGGCCTACTTGTGCCTCTGGGGGTGTTCTGGGGGAACTTCGGTCGCACTCCGCTCTTTGAATTGCGGGATTGAATGCTTGATTTAGTTGAGAGCTGTGTATTTTGACTCTTGACTCTTCTTTGCTTTCCATCATCTTCCAGCCAGGTTGTTCAGGCTTGATTGATTATTGAATCAAACTCCGGAAATAGATCAAGATTGCAATCGTGTTGCTGCGAAGCAAGGATTGTGTTTGGTATGGGAGACACTCCCACCACGATGCGCGATCAAGGCCAGGATTTTTTGGAGTGCATTGACCATTTCGTGCATTAAACATTGTTGGCATTGAGTTCTGCAGTGGTTCAGGGTGGCTTTTCCCCATCGTCGGCAACGAGCCCTTCTGGTGGGTGTGGACAGACAGCCTGGGGAAGCTTGTTTCGGTTTGCAGCTGCCAGTTCAGTTTTGAAGTAGTTTGCTTGATTGATGCAAGTATTGCATAGTATTGCAACGTTTGCCGCGAATGGCCTATTTTTTTTGAGCCCCCTGCATTTGGCGTTGCACTTTTTGTACCGCAACACACTTTCGTCACCTCTTACGACATTGTCCAATACCAGAGGTGGACGTGACGAAAGCAAGCAACCCCGGTTGAAGCCTTCGGACGGGCAGGGGATGACCGACACGTGTCTAAGGAAATACGGAAGCATCAACTTCAGTGCATGGGTGACAACCCTGCCCAATCTGGTCGTGATGATCATTGTCTCCACCATGGAGACTCGGCGCAGGCTTAGTGTCCCACCTTGGATCCTGTTTGCACTTTAGACTTTGCAGCTGGTTCGGACTTGAGAACTCTCCCCAACCCTGGCACTGCCATCCTGGAACGATGGAACCCTGGGCGCTGTCACCGTGAGGTGCTGGCGTGAGGGGCTGTGTTCAGAATGGCGCCTTCAATCGTCGTCAGGTGCATGTGTCGGGCGGTTCTGCAACCGCAACGGCTACTGCACTTGTAGTGCGCCTTCTGTCTCCGCTACCTAGTTGCGCGAACCTCACAGCAAGGTTTCTGCACTGGCACCAGTTTTTGCACTTGTGGCGTGCCTGTTGCCTTTGTTGCAGAGCTTCCTTTCTGCACGGTGCCAACGTTGGACGCGCCGCAATGTCACAGGCAGTTGCGTGTACTTAGCACTACGACTCATTCCTTCTACCCAGGAATACTTGGCTAGCTGGTGCTCATTGAAGGAACGAAGGAGCCAGGGGCATCCATATATATGCAACACTGGGAGCCGAGATGCGGGAGCACGCTTTTGTGAACGGCACGCAACACGCCTGCCAGTGCCGGGAGCCATGGTTTTGCAGTTCTGATGCGCTTTCCTTCTCTGGCCCCCCAGGTCTGGACCCCAGTTTCTGCTCCCTTTGCATTTAGCAACTGGGTACGGTTTCAGAGCTTTTAGCAACACACAGTTGGAATGTCAAGAAATCCCAGTCAGTTTGGTAGCTACCTGCTGTTGGGTTGCTCCCTGCTGGGTTGATTATTCTTGCCTGGTTTGTGGCGTTTATGGCTTTGGTTTCTAGTTGGCCTTCTTTTTCGTGGCTTCCGCGGTGCGAGGTTGTTTGGTTTCCTTTTGGTGCTTCTGCTTCTCATGGATTGATGGTTTCTGTTGGCTTTTGGTAGCTTCTTGCAGCTTTCTTTGGCTGCTGGTTTTTGCTAGCCTCTGTTGGCTTGTTGGCTACAAACAAACCAAGACTTGTTTTGTCCTTTTCCATCGATGTTCTTTTTTGTGCATCAGAGTCACGATTCACAAGTAGTTATCACTGGTATTCACTGGTAACTTATATATATTGTGAAATGAATCATGATGAACCAGGTCATTCCAGTTAGCATGCAGTTGGCCTCTCATTCCAACCCGCAGGTTCCGGTTCGCAAGGGCACGACACGACGCCCTTGGCTCAAGCCATGACGGAAAAGGCGCTCGCAGCCTTTTGCACGTTTGTTTTGAGTTGGGTGCACATTCATTTTCAGATTGGCACCGGAGCTGTGTTCTCCTTAGGGACCTCATTCGGCAATCCCTTGGTTTGTTCGTTTTGGGGGCACCTTCACGCTTCTGCGCCGGAGCTCATGTCGGCGCTTGAGTGCCTTAAGTGGCACCGGTTTTCCGAGGCATCGGAAGCCACCCTGGTTGCTGGCACCGAGGGCAAAGGTGTTCCACGCTATGATGGGAGCCCTTCGACCCTCCAAGAGTATGCCTTCCGGGTGCGACTACGAGCTGCACGGGATCAGGCCATGGATCCCAATGAACTGAAGAAGCACGGACCCTTGGGGCTACGCCTGATCGATGGGCTCACTGGAGCTGCATTGCAGGTTGTGCGGGAGGTCGAAGTCTCCAAGTTGGCTGAAAAGGATGGTCATGAGCTGTTGCTTCGCCACCTATATCAGGCCTTCAGACCTCGCCGACAGCAGGAAGCACGAGAGCTCTATGCAGCTGGAGCTCAAACCCATGGAGTCCTTAGCCGACAGAGCGGTGAACCGATGACCTCGTTCCTCTTGCGTCGACGAACCTGGTACAAGATGCTCTGCGATTTAGATGACAAGTTGGCCCTGCCGGAAGCGATCTTGTCGGAACAGGTTTTGATGTCAAGTGGCATTTCAAGTGACCACCAGCTCCTGATCCGCACGGCATTGGCCGGGAAGATGACGGTGAACGATGTCTGCAATGAACTCATTGCTCAACATCCCAACATCCATGAAAAGGAGCTTCGACATCGACAAGATCGACATGATCACAGGTTCAGCCGCAGCGGAAAAGGAAAGTCCAAATCCTTTCACACCTGGTCACCACCGAGCTATCAGGATGTGGCTGCATTGGCTGAAGACCAATGGGAAGATGCTTCGCAGTCCCCTGGAGGCTATGAGGACTATGATGACCCTGCCTCCTACTACACAGGAGCGTCCGAAGAAGTTGATCCCGGCTATGAGCCACCATCCAATGAGGTGGACTATGCAATGGAGTCCTATGCCGCTTTGGTTGAAGAAGGCTTGGACGTGAACAACAGTGAAGCCGTGGACTACGCCTGTGAGGTGATTCAGCTTGAGGCCGAGGCCATGTTCTTGCACAACAAGCCCAGAGTCAAGGCCACAGTGGATTTGGTGGAAAGAGCGCTGCCAACTACTGGTACCAGAACAAGGGGAAAGGAAAAGGTTCATCTGGCACCCCTGACCGACGACGCGCTCTTGAAGATCTCAAGAAGAGAACCACCTGCCGTCGCTGTGGACAATCTGGCCACTGGAGCACGGACTACTCATGCCCGAAGCATCCAGGCAGCAAGAAAGGTGGCAAGTCTTCATCATCGGCTATGACTGGAACGACCACTACGGCTTCCAGCGGTGGTAAGAAAGGCAAGGGCAACAAACCTCGAGTGGTCTACTTCTCCGTGACTGAGTATGACGAGGACCAAGAGGAGCCCTATGACCTTGAAGCGCAGACCTATATGGCAGTCACGAACTATGGCAGTGTTCCTCCGCCTTCGAGCTTGGCTGATGGCACCATCGTGACGACTCCAAATGAGATGTCTGCTGATCAGATGCTTGACATGGCCCTCCAACAAGCACGCATGATGCAGCAGCAGCAGACCCTGGCAATTCAGCAAGAGGCACATCAGCACCCTGTGCCGGATGATGCTGATTGGGAGGCTCATGAACTCGCCCTTCAGGACCATGGTGACGCTGCCTCAGTGATGAGCGTATCATCATGGACTTTGCCTTCCATGCCTGGTCTTGCATCTCCATCCATGAGTATGCCATCGCTTGTGGGTATGACGATTCCCTCAAGTATGACAGGCCTGCCGAGTATGCCCTCACAGTCGGGCTTAGCACCACCGAGTCTGACTTCACCATCGGGCTCAGCATTTCTGGACATGCCTCCACTTCCTGGATCACAAGCTGCTCGTGTGCAAGAGATGCTTAGAGAGGACGATCCCAACAGTTTGAATCGCTTCATGATGAAGCCGCCTCCACAGGATCCAACACTGAAGCAAAGAAGCTGTCCTCATGCAAATCGCACTCGTGCAGGATCCAATGCCTACCAGAATGTCATCAAGTGCAAGGATTGCGGCTTTGTCCTTCACCTCGAGAAGAAGACTGTTGGCAAGGCCATGGAGACCAAAGAAGCTGGCACTTGCACTCACTCCCGCAAGAACTATCAGGGCGCCACTGCAACGACCTGGAAGTGGCGCTGCTTGGATTGCGGAGAGACGGCATCAGGCTCGAAGAATCCTGGTGAAAGTGGAGCAAGAGCAGCAGAGATTGCACCTCTTCGAGTTGGAGCAGTGGCAGACTGGTTCCTTGATGACCCTCCTTCCAAGGTCATCGAACTGATGCAGCTGACGCTGAGCATCCAGCGACAGACTGGAGCCGTGATCACAGGTGACACCTTGGATGTGATCTACCAGCGCTGCAAGGACACGATCTATGTCCCTCAGTCCATGCCATCTGGAGCTACGCCTGCACGGCCTATGCCATCGACACCACCTCGCACCAGCGCAGGATATGAGTTCTACACTCCAACAAGGGGTTCAGCAAGTTCGGCGCCCTCAACACCAGGTGATCCAACACTTGGACCTCGAGAAGTACTGCCTGACGATTTGGCAGCTTGGGATGCTGAGATCATGAACCATGGTCAGCAGAAGGGCAAGACATTCAGGATGATTGCTGAGACGGAACACTCCTACTGCACCTACATCCTTGGACAGATGAAGGGAAAGAACCTCAAGAATCCTCAGCTCCTGGAGTTTGGCAAGTACCTCAACACCCGGCATTCGTTGGCCATGATGGCTTTCAGTGGCACTCAATGTGAAGATCAACTGCTTTGCATTCTGGACACGGGATGCAACAACACGTGTCACGGCGCCGGCTGGATGAAGAACTATATGAAGCTCACAGGTCAGAACTATGAGCTTCTCCCTCATCAAGGACGAGTGCGAGGAGTTGGAGGAAATGTGCAAGTTGTTGGACTCAGGAAGATTCCAGTTCTCTTCGCTCTCGCGGACGGAACGATCGCTTCTGGAACCATCACATCCACAGAGCTTGGAGGAAGCGACGCACCACTTCTCCTGAGCACCAAGGCCCAGCGATCGCTTGGATTGGTGATTGACCTTGATGAGCACACCGTCTACAGCAAGAAGATGGGTCAGTATCTTGAGCTGGTTGATCGAGATGGACTTCCAGCCGTTCGCTTGATTCCCACGAATGACGTGGAGACTGACATGGCCCTCAGAGCAGAGCACACCCTGGAACTGCCGATGTCTGAGTCATCAAGCACTATGAGCTCAAATGAGACCACTGCGCACTCGCCGACGAGCACTTCCTCCTTTGAGACCTCTTCATCCAATGTGACAAGCTCGCCTAACAGCACGAGCTCTGGCACTGAGGAGGCCTTTGAGACTGCGTATGACAAGCGCAAGATCGAGGAGGAAGACACTCTGAACTATGTCAACTTGGCAGAATCGCCGAGGAAGGTGATGACCCGCGGACAGCGGAAAGTGATGCAGGAGTCCATGCAGAATGTCCATCGTGAAGATCTGGCATTGTGGGGCACGCTTCGACATGAACAAGGACTTCGGAAGCCAGGAAGACTCCTCCCCTTTGGATGCAAATGCTTTCTCATGGAGTTGTTTGCTGGCGCAGCTATGGTGACTGCTTTGGCCGCTTCATGGGGCCTACCAGTTGGCAAACCCATTGACGTGAATCTGGATCCACTGCATGATCTGCTCAAGCCCGCCAACCGGGAGATGATTGGCAAGTACATTGATGACATGGACCCCTTTGTCTTGATTGCAGGTCCTAAGTGTGGTCCTTGGTCGGCATGGCAGCACATCAATGTCAGCAGAAGCTTTGAAATGGAGGAACGCATCTATGGAGAGAGACGGAGATGGTATCCTGTCTTCAAATGGCTCATCGATGTCTTCAAGTCCCGCTTGCGAAAAGGGAGACATATCATGATGGAGCGTCCATGGACGAGTGCCGCCTGGACGATCAAGTGCATGGAAGATTTTCTTCATGCGCGGCCCTATCACGAGGAGACCAATGAGCCGGTTGAAGTCATGAAGATAGACCAATGTCAGTATGGGCTCAAAGATCCTCAGAATGGTCTTCCTCATCAGAAGAGTACTGGCCTGTTGCTGTCTTCTCACTACATGAAACAGCATCTTTGCCGACGCTGTGATCACTCTCACGATCACCAACAGCTGGAAGGTCGCAGCCGTACTCGAGTTGCTGAACAATGGCCGCAGGAGCTATGTCATGCCATCGTCCTGGGAGCGTATGAAGAGTTGATGTATGGCACTTTGCATCAGGCCTTCCCCGTTGAAGAGATCTTCGAGACTCACGAAGAGATGGGTGAATTGGATGCTGTTCACTCTGAGCAGGACCTCGCCCCTCAGACCAAGAAAAGAAGAGTGGATCCTCAAGAGATCGAAAGAGAGGAGCTGATCTTGGAGCAATCAGTGCATGAGAACAGAACAGATCAGCTGGTGATGGCACAAGAAGACAAAAGGCGAAGAGGATGGTTGACTTTGCCCAAAGAGAAGCGCTTGGCTATCAGGCGGTTGCGCACTATGACTGGCCACTGCTCAACTATGGCTTTGAGGAGGATGCTCATTGCTTCAGCAGCTGACAAAGACGTCGTGGACGCTGTCAAGTTCTTCCAGTGCCAGGTGTGCAAAGAGCTTCAAAAGGATGAACAACCGCGTGTGACAAAGGAGATCAGGCCGTCTTCGCAAATCCACTTCAACTACGAGCTGTCAGCGGATGTGTTTGAGATTCATGATTGCCTTCACCACCGTCACTCAGTGCTTTCGTTGGTGGATCTGGCTACACACTTCCATGTGGCAGTGAGAGTTGGAGGAGGTGGAACACCCAGTTCCAAAGTGTGCGCTGACGCTTTGAACCACTCATGGTTGTCTTGGGCAGGTGCACCAACTTTCTTTGTTGCCGATCAAGGAGTTCACAACCGAGGCAAGGTCGCTTATCTCTTGACCCTGCTTGGAACGGTGATTCGACAGACAGGAGCACGAGCACCTCACCAACTTGGAGTTGGAGAACGACATGGTGGACTTCTCAAAGGAATCATGAAGAGAGCGATCCATGAACGGCAACTTCATGGAGCGGAAGACATTTCTGCCCTGTGCTCTGAATCGGCAAGAGTCAAGAACCTCTTCATGAACCAGCATGGCTATTCGCCTTCGCAATGGGTGATGGGTTTTCAGCCCTTGGACATCACCTCGATGGCAAATCAAGATCCTGAAGGACATTTGGGACTACATCAAAGCCTTGTAGATGCAGAAGAAGGAGCTCAAGACACCTTCACAAGGCAGCTGCTGGTCCGACAGTGGGCAAAAGAAGCTTTCATCAAGATGGACACTTGCAACAAGGTCCGAAAAGCCATGTTACGAAAGAGCACTCCACTCCGTGGACCCTATCGATGTGGGGACCTCGTGAGCTTCAGCAAGAAAGGCAAGTGGTATGGTCCAGCCCGAGTTCTGGCAAATGAAGGGAAGTCTTCTTTGTGGCTTCTACATTCTGGAGTTGCAGTCCTTGTGGCAGAAACTTCTTGCCGACCGGCCACCACTGATGAAGTGCTGAAGAAGCAAGCTCTGGAGCTACGACCGGAGCGGAAGAGGAAGCGACAGATTCTCAATGATTGGGAAGATGAGGACGACCTCCCCTTTGCAGATGACTACATCGAGGACATGAACTTCGGTGGAGGAGGAGGCGGACCTCAAGAGCAAGTTCCTTTTGTGGACTTTCAAGAAGCGAGAGAAGCAAATGGCGAGACAGGAGTGGCTGCTACCCCTGGAGATGTTGAGATGGGTGCTGAGGAAACTATCGCACCGACATCCACATCGTTGCCTCAACCTCATGAACAACCTCTCCGTGAAGTTCTAGCACCTCCACCTGGGCTAGAAGACGTCAACGTCTCAGAAGAAGGTGTAGTGACACCAGTTGAATCAATGACTAGGGATTCAACAATGAGCAGCCAACCGGAATGGGAGACTCCTCCGGCACCAAGTGTCTCCGCGCATCCAGCAGGACAGAACGACCAAAACATCATCAATGAGCAAGTGACTCCTCTCACCCAGTCACTTCGCCAGAGTCCTGACAGACTGGATGGAATTTTTCGTCGACGCGAGCCATCAGCCTCCGACAGTTTCATCGCTACCAAGACGGAGCGCAAGTACAAGAAGAAGACTCAAAAGAAGGTAGGAGCTGGCCGTGAGCTGAATTTCTCCAAAGAGGAGCCCGAGATGCAGAAGAAGTTGATCGCCACCAGAGAGAAGGAATGGCACAACTGGAAGTTCTACAGTGATGGACGTTTGGTGGCAGAAGATGAAGTTGCGCAGATGATGGCCAACAATCCCAACCTCAAGATCATCCCTACGAGGTGGGTGGACGTTGACAAAAGTGAGATTGGCGAGCCAGAGAAGTTGAAGTCACGACTTGTGGTACGTGGCGACCTGGAGGACAGCTCGCTGATGAGATGTGATTCCCCGACCTGCAGTCAGACGATGATTTCACTGGTTTTGACCTTGGCAGCATGCCGCAACACCAAGCTTTGGTCAGGTGACATCTCAGCTGCATTTCTTCAAGGCAGCAAGTTGGACAGGACCCTCATTTTGAGCCTGCCAAAAGATGGAGTACCAGGTGTTGACCCCAACATGTACTACACCGCGATGCTCCAAGAGGATGGTGGAAGAACCTCGACGGCGCCTTGAGGAAGAAAGGCTTTCACCCTGTGCCTTTTGAGCCTGGAGCATACACGCTCTTGGAGGAGGAGGGCGTTTTGGCTGGTCTTGTCATCACCCACGTGGATGACCTTTTGTGGAGTGGTGGTCAGTTGATTGAGGAGCGCATGAAGGAGATCTGCGACCACTACAAGTTTGGCAAGATTGAGTGTGATTCGTTCCGCTACTGTGGCAGGAACATCACCCGAGATGCTGACAAGATCTATGTCAAGTGTGACAGTTTGATCGACCGCGTTCGCCCGATCTGGCTGACTCATGAGCAGAAGCGCCAAGGAGAACAGCCAGTGACTGAAGGAGTCCGTGGGCAGCTTCGCAGCATCATCGGAAGTCTTGCATGGCTATCTCGTGTATGCCGTCCTGACTTGGCATATGCAGTGTGCAAGATGCAAATGAGTGTCAGCTCAGCCACCTATGAGGACGTCAAGTACGCCAATTCGATTGTGGCCTTGGCCCAGAAGACAAAAGAAGTTGGACTGGCTTACCCTGTCGGCGCCTTCAAGTTTGAGAATGCCATGATCCTGGCAATTCAGGATGCAAGCCATGCCGCTGACTATGAAGCCAGCTCTTCTGGTGCCCGCATGGCTCATCGAAGCCAGAGTGGACGTCTGCTGTGTTTGGCTGACAGGAGCTTCTTCGAGAACAAGATCGGCTACTTGGCCTTGATCGAGTGGCACAGCACGGTCTTGAAGCGTGTGTGCAGGAGCACCTTGCAATCAGAGGCACTCAGCCTACTGGCTGGAAGCGAGGAGGCAGAACACCTCAGGTTCGTACTACATGGAGTACGCCATCCTCGTTGTGGAGAACCACATTGGCAAGTTCAGGCCATGGATGGAACTTTGGTGGAATGGCTGACGGACTGTCGGTCACTTCACGACCACGGCAACCAAGCTGGGCTCCACATTGTGTCGGACAAGCGTTTAGCTATCGACCTTTGTGGTCTTCGCCAGATGCTGTGGCGGGTTCCTGGAGAGGCAGTGGGAGATCCTTTGGCGACGGATCGTCTGCCGGTCAATGGCAGCACTCGCCTGACTTGGACCAGCACTGACAAGATGCTGGCGGATCCTCTCACCAAGGGCATGAAACATGCCGGTTTGCGACAGCTCATGTCGGCGGAAGCTGTGGACCTAAACCCAACGGTTGGATTGAAGGCCAAGAAAACTTACGGGTGTGAAATGAATCATGATGAACCAGGTCATTCCAGTTAGCATGCAGTTGGCCTCTCATTCCAACCCGCAGGTTCCGGTTCGCAAGGGCACGACACGACGCCCTTGGCTCAAGCCATGACGGAAAAGGCGCTCGCAGCCTTTTGCACGTTTGTTTTGAGTTGGGTGCACATTCATTTTCAGAATATATATAGAGTAGTTATGTAGTTCAATAGACTCAAAGTCATGGATGTCAGCTGCTCTCTTCTGAGCTCTGTGGACTGGTTGAAGGCAGGAGTCATGGCACGTACTTTCATAGAGTGCTTGAGAGGGGAGGGAATGGCGGGGCGAACTCATCGGTGACTCCTGTGGCAGCCGATGGTCAAGCACGACGTGTTCCCTCCTCAACCACCCCAGCACAGTGACGGCTCTTCGTGTTTTCAGACCCTTTCATGGAGGCATCACGGTTGGATTGCCCACCTGCTTTCATGTAAGGATTGCGTGCTGAAGATCCATGCCACTCCGAGCAAGCTGCCATTGAATCTGAGCCGCAACACATTTCGTGACACCGGACATGAATCTGCCCATTCATCAGGGTCAGGATCTTTGGACTAAAGATTGTGATACTCTTTTGTCTTGACACCTGTGCTATTCTCCGCAGATCAAAACGTCGCAGATGGGTTCCGGGACCCATCCCGGCTGAACCGGCGATGATAGGTTTCGATGTTTCCTATCAGCCTGTCGAACCGGTGAGACACTTGCTGATAACTCCAAGGGGATTTGATCATCCAGGGGTTTTCCAGCTACAGACAGATGAACATATATATATAGAGAGAGAGACAACTTGTAGTGATCTTAAGTCTCCTCCAGGCAAACTGCTAGTTTTTTAGAGGCTCTCAACTCTAACTCTTCGGCATAATGAACTTGTAAGAGAGATTCAGGGCAAAGGCCAAGCACCCCACGGAACGATTCCTATCCAGCTTCACAGAAAGCCGAGTTTTCATGTGAAGAGTTCGCCTCGCGCGTTTCTACTCGAGGCGAGTTGACAGTGATAAAGAGTGTTTGAAGTTTGGGTCTTTCAACTATATCCTGGCGTGCTGTGGTGGTGCGACTGGCTACATGCAGTTGAAGTTCAACGTGATCAGCAGCTTGGTCAAAAAAAGAATTGGATGAACGCATCAGTCTTGCTACAATTTTTCAGCAGATCCTTCAGAACCACGTCTTTTTTTCACAATCCTCCTCACAGCCTTGATACCAACCCTTGTCTTGTCTTCTCCCAGGGATTTCCGACCAATTCTGAGGCTATGGTGTGATGAGAAATGCTCACGATCGAAGGGCATCAATGATCTATGCCATGCAGCTTGGGTAGACAGAAGCAAAGGAACAGTGTCGAGACCGAAGGCAATTTATGTGGCCAGAGGCAGAGGGAACCCAGATTGATCTCAATGGAGTCGCAGTGCATGACATCTAAATGTTGTTGGCATTTTTATAGGATATGGTAAGGGGTGTCAGTCAGAAATATTGATTGCCACATAGTGAGATACAAGTAAAGCTTTTGTTTGAAGAAAACTTCAGTCTACATCACAACATGTATGCGGACGAACATGGTACGTCTGAGAATCAATTCGCAAAGATTTGGAATATGCAGGTTATGTAGCAGGTGATTCGCATTGACTCTTTGCATCTATAGAGATCCGACCAGGGCTCATTTTAACTCTTACATCCAACACGGCTCCCTGCAGTTACTTGATGTCCCACACACACACACAAATAAGTGCAAGCTAGTTGTGTTGGTGGATCTTTCTCTTTGATCATCTTCAATTTGCTTGCAGCAAAGGACAATGTGTGCTCATCTTCTTATTGTGTCCTCAATGAACATCGGTAACGAAGGGGGATAAGATGGGATAAGGACCTTCATACGAATGCAATGAACATGATGCCTCACATGTCTTTAAAGCCTTTCCTCGAACTTCCTCGAACAACCTTGATACCAGACTGCGGCAATGTGATGGTTCAGTTGGATAAGGCGGGCGTGCAAGCCCCTGGGAGAATTTCCAGAATGCTATGAACTCTGCTTCTGGATCCCCGTTTGGTCAATGTTAAACCAAACGAACCTGATGTCGCTTCACTCCAGAACCGTCCCTCATCACGAACCCCGTCACATTTTGCCCGGGTTGGAGGGCCTCAACCGGACCTTTGTTCCTTGCAGATCTTTTCCTGAGTTTACCGATCCATTCTGAATTCTTGCGTACAAGGATATAACAGGCCTCGGTTTCTTGGCGGTTGGTGATTGGCTTTGCAACTTTCCTGATGTTGCAGCAGAAAAAACATGATCCTCACTGTGTTTGGTTTCGTTCTGGGGCTTTGTCTTTCTCAGGCTTTGTGCTGCCTGCTATTTTAGCACCGTGGAGCACTTCAACTACCTGCCCAAATTGTTTCTTTGCAGAAACTTAGAACAGTGTTAGAACGACCATCATGGACCTTCCGCTCAGTGATTCCTCCAGAATCAACGAGGCGTAATCAAGTGGGTGTAGATTGGAAGCCCCAATTTGGTACGCCCGGAAGTACGGTTGTGTGTGTAGAAGCTATACACCTGAGGAAGGACTTGTAGGAAGGACTGAATCTCCGCTATGGAAGGACTTGCTGTTTTCTTCGTGTCCTGCTCCGAGTTTCCTGAGCGCCCTGCTCTTCTTTGCGGGCGCCGGCTTTGTTACAGACAATCTTTGGGGATCTCGAAAGTTCCTCCACGTGAGTGAATGGCTTGAAATCGCACCTTGGACGCAAAAGAGAGGCTTTGGTGGGCGCATAAGTGAGTCTTCTATAAGCCTGCGGGCAGAGAGGTTTTCTCGTGCCAGTTCAAAGACCAGACATCAGAATCTGAACTGGCAAAGATTTGGAAAAAACACATTGGCTAGGACAGATTTGGATCGAAATCAACATCACCATCACAGTTTTGGAAATGGTATATAAATGGTAGATTCTGAACATGTTCCCAGTCAACCGACGGGGCACCCGAGTGGCTTGCTTCCGACTAGTACGCATGTGTGGCATGGAGAGCATGCGTTCAAGGACAAACAATATTGTACCTTTCGGAAGCTGTTCCGGCTAGGGTGTCACCGTCACCAAAACGAATCGAAGTAGCAGGTGATCATTGTCATCGTGTTCATCATTGCTGGCCAGAGCATGATTTTTGCAGTGCTCACTGGAGTGTCACTTGTCGATGCCAATGTTGTCAGACATTGTTGTGTTAGCATGATTGCTCGACTCAACTTCCCATGTTGCTCTGCATATTGGATCGCTGTAAAAGTGTACTGAGGCTTCTGTCTGGAGTCGCATTCATAGCCAAGTTCCTTGGATCTTCAGAGGGTTGAAACCGCAAGCAGACATTGAATCTCTAAATGGCTAACGGCTACCTACATTTGGAGGACTTGAACAGAGTCAAGTGTGCAGAAAACCAAGCGAAGCTTCGGACACTCAGTGGAGCTTTGATCAAGTGCCCCAGTTCCCCAGGTATGCCCGTGTGCCGGCCATTACGGGGCGGCCTCGCAAGGGCGATGAAGTGACCACACGGGATCGGCCGGTGGGAGAGGCCCGGCAGACCCACAGCAGGCCGCGACCGGTCGCGATGGGCGCAGCGCATCGTTGAAGGTTGGCCACCAGAGCTTCATGCACATCGCTTCAGAGTGGGTTATGTGCTGGCCTTAGATGCTTGTGGCGGTTCGAGCCCTAAGAATGTGCGCACATGTCCGAAATGGCATGCTCTATCTTGACGAAAGTCCGTGACGATGTGCTTTAAATGCTCATCGTCACAGCACAAAGTGCGGATGCAGATATGTCTTAACCACAAACGGTTCGAGAAACAAAAAGGTACGTAGAACACAGAGAGGTAGACAGAGAAAAAACCAGTCGATGGCTGCCAACCATCCCTACGGCATACGGAAAGAAGCTATTAAACATAGAGTCCATGCAACACCTCCAACGTGATACAAAAGGTCTTGAAAGTGCTTGGGCCCAAACATGTAAGCACAAGCTTCATTCTGAACACTGTGCGATGACAGATCCCCTGACATTGCCTGATCCGGATCCCTAGGATCGTGAACTTGAAGGGCTATGTGTTCTTCAGCTCCTGCGTCTCAATTGTTCAACGCATTGAATCTCATTTCAACAGAGAAGATCGCCATGATGTGCCGCCCTCAGTTTTGCCGCCTAAAGGTACGGCAAGCTGTGCCTTTCTTTACCTATAAGAAGCTCAGCGGCTCAGCTTCTAAAGCGAGCAGACATCATGTAATGCTAATGCCATCATGTCATATGCAAAAGCAATGCAAGAAGCACACTTACAGCAAAGAACATAACAATTCTATTTTCATTTCTTTGCTGAGAACAACTTGGTTGAGGCAAGCTTCACAAAGCAGTCGTTTTCCCATTTCCATGTTTGTGTGACAGCATGCAACGCCTGCAACGCGTGGCTGGATTCTGACGTGGACGCCCTTTTGAGGTGCCCAGCTACCGGCGATTGAAGTTTTTGGTCTTCGATGCGAAGAGCTTGGATGGCATGGACGCTTCTGGAGCCATGAGCATGTTGAAGCTCACACGAAAGGCCAGCGAAAGGGACACCGTGTCATGTCACTCGGCCGAGAGCTCGGCCGAGAGCGTGTCCATGTCCCATGTCACCCGGGGAGCCATTTCAAGACCAGTCGGAAGAGAAGATGCTCGCCACCATCGCGTCAGGCTCAGCAGCGCGGCATCCGCGTGTGCTGGGCTGGTGTGTCTGATGAGCTGGCCGAGGAGTGGGGAGTGGGATGGTGGGGCGAGAGAAACACATTTGCTTGTGGCTCAGAAAGATGCCTTTACCTGACCCAAATGGCAGCATACATACGCTGTCATTCTGTTGAGATGAAGATTGTGTTTTGTTTGGGAAGGGAGTCAGGTGTCACATTTTTGTGTAGACAGAGCGACGTCGGGTCCGATCAGGCCGAAGGAATGTCATATCTACTTTCATCAGGCTCATCAGGCTAGAATCTGGAGATCTCCTTTGATGCATCGATTCACTGGAGAAAATCGATTCACTGGAGAAGCAGAGTCTGCGTAAATCGCAGAGCAGCATCCTTCCATGGTGCGCCATTTTCAAACGGGCCTGACAGATTTTGTCCTTCGCCCTTGGCTATTGAACAGGTACGGTTTACTCAAATCTTTGGAGCTCCTTATCGACCTCCAGTCTTACACCTCCACATGATCTATTTCAAGTGGGACTGTCCATAAGCAGTCAGGGTCGGGTTACACATTTCATGGAATCACCTCATCGTAGTGCAGTTGTCCACTTGGAGGTTTGATAGATCTTCTTCTGGCCTGTTGCACCAATGCTTACTCAATGACACTTTGGACTGACCTGTGCGCACCAACTTACAGTCCAAACTTGGCCCAGGAGATGCAGGTCCGTCAAATCATGAAGGAACAAGATCGCTTTCAAGACCTGCATTCCGCCTGTTGGCTGCGAGCACTGAATTGTTCAATACAGTGTGCAGTGTGGCAGTTTTACCAGATTGATACTATAGTGACGGACAATCACTTAGAACAAATCGGTGAAAAGTAAACAAGAAAATGGAGCTTCTAAGTGCTTGTCCGTGACTATTAAAGGTTGGCTGAAATGCTGTAGGGTCCTATCGAAACAGAAGTCAAACGGGTTCTCTATCTCTATCTCTATCTCTATCTATCTCTATCTATCTATCTATCTCTATTTATCTGTCTCTATCTATCTGTCTCTATCTATCTGTCTCTATCTATCTGTCTCTATCTATCTATCTATCTATCTCTATCTATCTATCTCTATCTATCTATCTATCTATCTATCTTAATACATATATATGTAGCAAAATGGCACGAATGCAGCATGCATGGTTTGGGGTGAAAGAGCTGGACCATGCAGTCTGAAAGCTGAATAAAGTGCCTACATATGAACATATATATATATATGTATGCAGTATACAGTATATACATCGTATATAATATATACACACATGAGCGTGAATATGTTCTAAGTGTTGGGGATGCGTTCTAAGTACAGGGATTTCGATTGTTCTAAGAGCAAGGCTTAGATGCTGATTTTTTGTTCTATGTGTGGGGTCCTCGGCATGTTCTATGTGAATCCATTCTTTTTTTTGTGAAAACACGATGTTCTAAGTGGTTGTCCGTCACAATAATATGAGATTATACCCAGCATACGCTTGCGGTTGTAATGAAAGCAGTGCACAAGCAGTCAAAATCAGGGCGGGCGGGCATGGGATAGCACCCGAATCGTGAGTTGAGGCCATGACCCACTTGGAGAAACGCATCTTGCAGTACAAGGCGCTTTTTTCGATGCGGGAACCGTTTGATCTTCATGTCGATCACCATTTTTTGGAGTTTGAACTCTTTCAAGACGAGTTCTTAACCGCCCTGAGCACATTGAGTGACGCCGGTTGGGGGGTGAAGGAGTCTGAAGGATCTCGGGATGGCATTTTGAGCTTTTTGATGGGGCGAGTGGTAATGCAGGTAAATTTGTGTAGCAAAGAGCCAGGCTCAGCAGCAAAGAGAATGGATGCATTTGCACCCTGCTCGGGCCTTGAGAGTATTTTGCTACGGTGTGGGCTGGTGGGGTTTTCATGTTTGACCTACAGAATCTTTTCAATTTCAGAGAATTGAACAGCTGATAGGTAAACAACAGTAGTTGCTGGAGTATTGCTGCATATTATGAGATGCCCTCTGAATTCCAGTACGCGACATAAGCTGCAGAGCTGCACCAAACTCTAGGCTTTCCGCAGAGACAAGAAGCTCATGGATCAGCGTGTCGACTTCGAGCCCTTTAGGCGGAGTCAGCGGTCGGCAAATGCTTAATCAAAGGCTTAGTCAATGGCCTTTCACGCGAGAAGGATGTATACAAAAATGCGCACCGTAATAATATGAGGTAAAATCTGCTCTTTTCAAGGTGGCTTTCTTGAACAAGTTTGGACATTGTCCCATCTTAGAATGAACTCTTCTTCCCAGCTCCTTCGCGGCATCTCCCAGGGAAGTTTTCCTGTCCGATGGCGCACGCATGGGATGCCCTTGGCGCTACTGCAGCCGTTTGAGCATCAAGAGCAGCTCGGCAGCAACAGCTGCGTTGGCAGCATTCGTATTAATTCTAATAGCTTCTTTGTTACTACTAGTAAGGCACTTGTTACTACTAGCGTGGCACTTGTTACTAGTATTCTTTTTGCTGCATTGGTCTCGAACGGATTCGTTTGGGTTGGGAAGAGGATGTCGGATGTGCATGGCGTCGAATGTTGGGTCCATGTGCCTTCGGCAGGTTTCAAAACGATGCTTTGCGTGCCTGGAGATTTGCACCGACCTCTCTATCTCATCCATACAGGGGCCATTGCCATCCTGGATGCAGTGCCAGAAGAAGGGAAGGAGCAGAAATCAACCAGTGCTTGTGCCAAGCATGAGCCACATTCATGGGAAAGCAAGCATTCTGGGAGGGATCTGCACAATGTTCACCCCCCTAGCAGACCAAGGACCAATAGCATGTTTCCTTGTGCCGTGTGCAGAGTGTGCTGTGATTTCTTTATGCCGTTGCTGTGGCGCTGATGGGCAGAAACCTCTTCCCCGTTGCTGCAGGAGTGGCAAACGCCGCGCTTCGTATTGAGGCCGGATGGGTCCCAGAGCTGGATAGGATGACGCGATGAGCCGACGGTGCCATGTGGTCAATGGAATGACGCAGGGGTTTCTGGACAGTGAATCCACGAAGATGCAGGGGTTGATTGGTACTTTGGTGAGCTCAAACATCACTGAGTTTGGGTTCGGTTCCACAACAGAGCTCCAGAGCATCTTGGCAGAACAGATAGCCCTGGTAGGGAAGGGCCACGTTCCACCATCGCCAGGCAGGGCTGGTTTGTGAATGCAAACTCCTTGGTGGGTCAGCCATCCAATGGCTATGCTGTGGCAGTGGAAGATGGGGAGGCTCGGGCCTAAGTTTCGGAGATGGACAGAGAGACTTTGACTCAATCTCCAAGCCTTGGCCTTTTTTTTGTCATGGTACATGTTTGGTATGATTGTAACATTTGTCAAGAACATATTCATTCCGGTTCATTCCCTTATCCACCGCAGAATGATCAGCACGGTAGACCTTGAGGTCCTCGAAAAGTATGAAATTGGGAACTGGGTATGTGTAAATCACTGGTCCAGGTCTTAAAGAACAAGGTGACACGACACCATTGTGTGGGAAGCGGGAAGCTGGCGATGCGTGCCTTTCAATTTATGATACCAGTGATGCATTCTCAGAAAGGGCGTGATTGGGGGATTCTCCCGCTGCGAGACAACCAAAGCCGCCCAAAAACTAAGCACAAAGGCAATGCTGAGGAGGAGCATAGCAACGAAAGGTATTGTAGGATCTGTGCGTCTCGGTTCCACAAAAGGACACTGCGATAGTGTATGCGCACTTCGCTACAATCCATATGAACAGTTCCAAAAAGAGGAGCTGTGAGAGGGACCAACAGATTGAACATCACTGTCCCAAGGAAACGAGAGCTACCCAAAATTCAGTCGAACATATCAACAAATTCGATTCTGGAAGCTTGTAGAAAGAATGTTAGATCTTAACACTCCCAAAAGACTTCACGAGAAGGACAAGGCGCGCAGCTGTCTCGCTTCTGTTTACCTCATCCAACCACGAACAGCCGCTACCTTCGAAGGGATTTGTGCCAGCAGTCTGCATGGTTCCGAAGAAGATGGGGACATATTATAGGGACTCGGATGACATGGCATCATGGATCGCATGCTGCAATATGGTTCCGAAAGACCCCCTGGAAGAAGGACACTAGAGCAAAACTCATTGATTGGGGTTCGGGGTCCCCCAATGAACATACACACCCATTTCATGCTTCCCTTCAAAAACTGTCGGCGGGAGAGACAACTATGGGCACTCCTTTTGATCTCTGGTGTTGGCTTCAAATTTTTTTGAACCAGAAGGCCGCCAAGGCCTTTGATCAGAGTCTTGAGGTGATCCTCCTGCTTGGTGGACGAGGATGACAATCCCATAAAGTCCGTGTATATAACCTAGGAGGTTTGCCTTTCCGGCATTCTTTCCCTGAGACTTCTGCTTTGGGTCTGTTTTTTCGGCCACACGTTTTCCACGCAGGATAGGTCTTCTCCTTCCAAGTTGACCTTTGCTCCACACCAGTGCGTTTTTGAGAGTGATGCACAAATTTAACATCTAGGATCCAAATGAATAGCGGGCAAAAACATAACGAAACAGAACAACACAAAGAACAACGGTCTTTGGTTTCTGGTTTCTAAAGGCCGACGGATGCTGTTTCGGCTGCTTCGCCCCTTTTTGCGCCGAAACAGTGCTCTCCTTGCCCATCTTTTCAGTCTGTCAGACCCAAAACGACGGGGTCCAACGAACCCAAACTGATCCAAGCCATACGTCACTCGTTCTCAGCGCACCAACTCGTTCAGACAGGTGTAACATAGGGTATTCAGACACCTGATATTCCTTGAGCACCATAATTTAGACCTGCATGTAAACAAATGCCACGTCATCAGCTGATAGACAGCCTTCAGTAGGAGAAGAGTGGTATTGTAGAATTCAAAGATTCAGTAGCTTAACAAGCTCCGATCCAAGAGCTCATACCGGCATCTAAGCGGATTAGGGATCGGGGCCCCTAGTGGAAGGCAGGCTTAGAAACAGCGGTTTAGCTGCTGCGCCCTGGTTGGGATCGGCAGGTGCTTTTTTGGACAGAAGAGCAGTCGGGGACCAAGTTTGGCCTCCGGGTCGGTGGAGGCCGTTTTGGGTTGGATCCCTTCGGTGGATCCCTCGCACTGAAGCTCTGCGCTTCCAGACTTTTGTAGGCAAGTTGAAGATCATTTCTCTTGTATTCTACATCTGTCTACCACCAACACTTTCCTTGAACTACCCTATCACCACTCTGTTCAGCATGGTGGCATAAGGTGGTGGAAGATGGCCAACGAACACCCGCTGATGATGATGGAGTTGTCGAAGG